TTTTTTTTTTTTTTTTTTTTTTTTAGTTGCATGAACTCTACCTTTTTGCTTTGATAATAAACTTGAAATTTTACTTACCTAAATCTAGCAGGATATTTTTTTAATAATTCCTCAGCAGTCTCATAATCACTTACTAAATCTTCACAAACATATTTAGGATCCTCGCAATCAGGATTACCCGCACACCATGTCCGATGACGTCTCGATTGCATTGTACCTCTCGGATCTCGCACTAATAAGATAATCCGCACATTTAAACTGCAAGCAAAAACGAAAGGGAGCAAAACTTGAAGTTACAATTGATTTAACATAACACTTAAGTTTACACACTCGTTACTTTTATTAGTTGAACGCAAGTTAAATAATAACATGATAAGGGTATAAAGCAAATTTTTTTTTTTTTTTTTCTGCTTTTATTATGATTTACTACGAATTCGAATACTTGTTTTTCGGGTTATTACAGGAATGTGTACAGCGTACGATCATAGGCAAATGTTGCACAAGCATACGCGCAAACATAGTTTGATTACAAACTCAATTCGTATTATTAAATAAATGCAGTCATGCATAAGCGTTATGTATTTGTTTTTCATTTGTTTATCATTTATGGATACGATGATAAGATACCAAATATAACTCTTTTCGTTATGTACTTTATTGTACCTATCATGAGAGATACATTCATTTTGTCAAAACATTTGCAACGCCCAGAAGGAAGCTTTAGAGACTCTCCAGAGTTTTTGTATATTCTTGATCAGCATCAAATTCTTACCCGATTTAACTCTCTTCAATTGTCTGTCTGGGTAATACCGGTTGCAACCATTCTCTTGGCCACACTAAATGAATTTATCGACTTGAAATTTTCGCATTGAGAGTTTTTGCACGCAACTTGCTATTGAGAATGGGTACGAAATCCTAAATTTTATCACTTCTGTGTTGAGCTTAAAAGTCTCTCTACTTTAGAAAATATTATATTTTGTAGAAAAAATTTATATTTTATATAATACATACGCTTATAGCACATCTATAAAAATAATTCCTCAAACTTTCTATTATATTCTACTTCTATTCTATGTTATGTATATATATTTTATATTATACGCCATAGATTCGCCTTGCCCTTCGTTCACATACATCGTAGCACATGCATTTTCTTTGCCATTTTACAAATATTATTATTATTATTATTATAGGTGTGTGGGCGTTGTAGGCGCGTCCTTTGACCGGTTTGGCTCATTTTTAAATTCTAGGCTATAGTGTCATTTTTGCGAATGGAAGTATATTTGAAGCACATTTGGGCAGACAGACACGCTTAGCTGTGCCCCGAATTTGTAACTGACTAAGAAGTGTTTGTGAAGCTTGCCTCTGCGCGTTATAAAAGTATTGAAAAAAAAATTTCTATACTGTAATATTGGGTAGGCGTGGTCAATTTCTCCTCTCCTCGTGCGTGTAGTATGGCATCGCCCAAAGAAGAAACATTCAAATTTTCGTACATTTACATCCTGTAGGCTATGAGCCAATTTTTGATTCCTTTTGAAAAACAGAGATGTCCTCAAGTTACGTGGTAGTGTAGGCACGTATGCTTCAACCGATTTGTATCATTTTCAATACCATTCTGTAAATTTGAAGCCAATGGCTTCGTGTTTGCAGCCAGGAGAGGAGGTTTACAACAGACCTTACGAACGGATGTACGGACGACATTCAATGCTGATCACAATTCAATGCGAATCACAGTTCGATGCTGATCAAGAACATACATACCTTGCGCAGTTTTTTGGCGTTGCAAACATTTTGATAAAACGAACATGCCCTTATCGTTCGGTGATAGGTATAAAAAGTGTGGGAATGAACGGATGCAAGAATTAAGAATACACCGCTTTATAGGGCAATATATGAATGAATATGTATATATCTATATCTACAATAGATGATAGGGTGATTGTATATAGATATGCCATGCATATCTGTATGCGTAGTACATAAAATATATCTAATTATTTATACAATTTTATTTTCTTATAAAGGAGAGATCTTTAAAACCTGCAGGGAATATGCTTTTATAAGAGCATGAAAAACGCATGCATTCTAAATTAAAATTTACATTGAAATATCACGCAAATATTCAAATCATTTGCTGCGTCTTGCCCTCCGTACGTAAAGTATCACGTGACTCGTACATAAATCTGCAAACACTTACTATAAGAAAGTGATGGACATAATGAAAAGAATTGTATTTAGTGCCTTATCATCAATGTATCCGTAAATGATATAAACGAAAACAAATTATTTGCATATGCTTGCGTATCTATGTAACGCTTAAGTTACGCATAAGCTCTATACATTTCTTGAACAAAACGAAAGCCAAGCAAAACGGTCAAGTTCGAAGGCAATATATTTGTGCATTCGCTTGTTCTATCTATGTAATATTTGCCTATATATGTGTACATGTTGTATGTATGTATTCCTTCTAATGAAAATGAAAAGAGAGCGTGTTCAAGTTGTTAGCAAACAATAATAAAAATGGAAAAAGAATTCATTTAAAATCACATTTCTCATCGTGTCATTAAGAATTTTTTCTCTTAACTAGTAAAAGTGACGAGTGCCCACTCTATTGTCATTCATTCCGTTTGCTAATAAGCAAAATTTTTTTTGGATACATTTTAATTAAACTAATATATAATAAGTAGTGAATAAATAAAATGTAATGTGATGACTTCTAAAGAGAAATCAAGAAAATTTTTGGGTGTTTGACTTAGCATAATGTATCGCCATGAAATTTGGTTCCGAAGTGTCCTAAAAAAAAAAAAAAAACCTCTTCAAGCGTACATAGTCTTTAAAGCATTTTTAAACCTCCGCTGAAGACTACCTTAAGGAAGATGAAGTTTATTTACCACTCATCACATTTCCGTAGATAAGTCGAAACATCTCTTGATTTAAAATTGAGGTTATGTTTGATCTGCACGCAAGTATAGATCCTAAAGAAGAAACCTAAAGACGCTAAAAATTTCCTCCTAAGTTGATTACTACTCGAGCAAAGCGAGCATCAATATCCTTGCAACAGAATGTTGAAAATGTCTTGCGATACACTGCGTAACAATACTTTTTTTTTTTCTTACATATTCTAATCGTAAATGGCCCATGCCGTCCTTCTTTGCCTTCTCAGGCAATTAAAAAACAAAAATCGAAAAACTCAAAATATAGTGCAACTATGTCCACATTATTTGCAAGGGAGTAAATGTCACAACCCTAAAAAATTCGCTTAGAATGAAATTTTTTTTTTTTTATGAAAACTCAATTTAAGGTTACCCGTTACTGCTAGCAAAAAATTCTTGGTGGTTGCTAGGGTGGGACAGCTGAACACCCAACTAGTGATCATCCAAACTGACATGCCATTGACAAATGCCCATAGGGATGGTCATACATTTACAAACGATAATAGAGTTAAGCCTATGATTTTTATTTATATAATCCTACATCATCGCTGGTGATATATATCGCATATTGAGTTTGTGCAGATGTATGTCAAAGCCAGAAAAACTTATTATAAAAGCTTTTTTTTTTTTTCTTCACCGATCGATTCAGAATCGTTTTTTGAATCGATATAAATTTTTGGCACCCATCTGTCTGCCCCTCCATCTGCCATCGGTGTTTTGCATTCAACCTACATTTTGGAAAATACTGGAAAGGAATTAGATCAGAGCACTTTTCACGATCACTGCCCAAGTAACGGGTTTTTTTAAAAAACTTGTGTTTTATGACAAAAAATTCTGCAAATTTCAAAATTTCTTGACAATGAAAATCACTAAGTACTAGAATTTCGACATATTGAAAAAAAACACGGGAAATTTTGAAAAATAATTTGATGTAAAAATTAGCTGAACTACGTACACCCAACATGATAGGTACTTTAACCTAAAAAGTAAGGCTTTAGTTTTTAGTCCTTTATGACGAAAATCGGTGAAGCATAATAAAATCTTTAATAAGAAAATTACTTTTGGTGAACTTGGAGATTTCTGATGAAAAGTCTATGTTTACATGGAAAATGAACATAGAATTGTGTGTAGATGAAATTGTGTGTAATGATGTTAATGGTCGGCTTTGTTCGATTGTCGTTTTTGACCTCTTTTGCTAAATTTTCACTATTAATCAAAATAAATGTTCGTTTGATTCGCAGAAAAGCTTTGCTTTGTTTACTGTACATTTGTTAAAATGCGGTTTTTTACTGCGAGTTTTTTTTTTTTTTTTAAGTAAAGTATTCCCCTAATCATGGACGTGTCACTCAAAACGAATAATTTTTGAAAAATAAAATGTTTTATGCAGGGGAAAGAGGAAAGAAATTTTTGAATAGAATCTAGAATTACTCTCCGCAGTTCCGAACATGTTTTGCAAATATTGTCGCACATCTGCCGCTCCAGACTATTTTTATTTTTTAAATGTGCTTTATATGCTTATATGCGCAATTGTAATTTATTCTTATTTTGAATATTGTTAGAGTATCAGTCGATAGGTTAATACACTTATGTATTGATTTGGGTGCATACTTTCCGGCTTTACTAAAAATATGAAAAATCAGTATATCGTTGAGCGTTATGTAGCTAAACTTGAAAATCTAAAAAGAAATAATGAGTAAACACAGTTCGGAACAATCGCGGAAACGCTTCGCTCAACGTTTTGAAAAGTGAATTAAAGTGAAACTCTAATCGAAAATATTTGGATAAGATTTAGTTTTTTTTCGAACGGAAGAAAATAATTTGTATTAATTTCCGTGTTGGCTTTACAAAAGCTGCTTTTCGTGATTACATTTGCATCGCTAGAAAATAATTATAGCGAGCATTAAGGTAATAATTATTTTATCCATCAACCGAGAATGAAGGTAAACCCTCTTTGTTATCTTGTTTGTAACATTTACAAGTTCTTCATTGGCTGAAAGGTGTAGGTATTTTTGATCAGAACGAAAGCTACTGAGATCGGTGAAGATACAAAATTTTTTTTTTTGAGACGAAATGCAAAATGTGAAGTCAGACTAAAATAAACGCCGTTTTAGCATAGTTATTGGCGATTGTAGCTTTCTTATTTTTAATATATATATATATATATACAGAAAATATATATATATATATATTAATTATTGTCGATTATTTCATACACATAAACGCATGCATGTACAGAAAAATGTAAATATAAATTTTTGTTCTTTTCATGGTCTACGGGCAACTGTTACACACGCTCTCAGCTATTTAATTAATAGCGGGATGTTG